TTCCTATCGGGAGGCCACAGAAAACTCTGGTCTCTCTTGCTGTTAATAATTAGAAACTGTGTTTGTACTGTGGTTGACATAGAAACACTATGGAAAGGTGCGGCTTGTGGGAGTTGGGCTTATGATAGGTTCCCTTTTAGGATGTGGGGTCAGGAGCTGCCTCGAATGATGCACGGGAAGGTGGAAATGCTTTTCTATGTCCCTGGTTGTATACAGGTTTTAAACACCTTGAGGTTCTTTACAACTAAGAAAGAGGAAGGATATGGGGAAAAAAAAAAAAGCAGGCAGGACCCAGCAAACCTGGAACTGAAAGATGGCGTGCAAGGTGAGGTGTACAAGGGAAGTTTCACCCACAGAATTGTGTTCCCACTTTGGAAAGATGTTTAAAAATATCAGGACAATTTGACGTGTGCCTTTCCTTATGGTAATCTAAATAATGCAGCGTTCCTAACAACCATCTTCAGTGTTTACACTGTATTAGTTACAGGAAGTTATCTGGAGATGATTTAACATATGCTAGAGGAGACGTAAGTAGGTTACACACAAATACTAAACCATTTTATAAAGAGACATTCACACTCTGTGGTATCCAGGAGGGTCATGGAACCTTGAATGACTGCTCCAGCTTTGGGTATATATTTTTTGAGAGCACAGACCTAGTGTAGAATCCATAAATTCTAGTATAAAAGCAACACAGAAAACCTACTTGAAATGCAGATTCCCAGACCCAGTCATAAGCTTCTGTTTTGCTTTTTTGTTTGGTTTTCAGACAGGGTCTCATTATGTATCTCTCACTAGCCTGAAACTCACTGTACAGACCAGGCTGGTCTCAAAGTCACAGAGATCTGCCTTCTGGTGGTGCATGCCTTTAATCTCAGCACTCAGGAGGCAGAAGCAGGCAGATCCCAACCTTAAGCTTCTGATTCAGTAGGTTGGAGTGAAGCCTAGCAATCTGTACTATTATCAAGTTAGTCATTTAATTTGGGGCCAGTGGCTCTTAGATTATCTTAGTTGCTTTGCAAAACCTAATCTTGATCTCTTCCAAAGTTAGCACGTCATCAAATTAGAGGCTTGACTAATAAAACACAAAGAAAAAAGAATATTATTCTTTTCATGTCATATGTGTGTATGTTTAAATCTGGGTTCCCGGGATGACAAAGAACACATGATACGTGCCTCTCTTTTCATTCCCCCTCCTTCTCCCCTTACAATACCCCTCAGTTGTCTACTGCTTGTTTGGATGTTGTTTTGTCACACTCCAGCTCACCTTGCATTCTTTGACCTATTTACTGAAGAACTTTGATGTAGTCTGGAATTACAGAGCTATTGGAAGCAACAATACACAAACTGGAATCAGACTTCTCTAGCAAAAGCCTAAGGAAACCTGCCTGAGCCTGCTTCATGTAGGGGAGGGACGGGTATAGGGGAGGGAGGATTTGCAAAATGATCTTTTCTTTTCAAGCTTCCTTTGAAAATGTCCTTTCACAATCTGAAGATTAAGCAACTTTCTTCCAGAGGAACAAATTACTAGGGCCCCAAAGACCCACAAGATTCATTAGCAGTGTGCAGTAGATTTAAATTTTTTTTCAGCAGTAATGAAAATACATTCTACATCACAACACACACACACACACACACACACACACACACCACATATATCATGTCTGTGTGCACATGCACAGAAAATGGAATTAATTTTTTAATTTTATTTTTTATTTTTTAATTAAACATTTTATTGTGCCTATTAATTATGCATGGTACTATGTTATGTAAGGACATTTTCATAGCCCTATATACTGTACATTGAGCATACACCCTCCATCCCTTGCTTCCTCACCTTCTGTTTCTTACCCCTCCTCCATACTTTGTTCCCTTTTGTTCCGCTAGTAGAAGAGACAGTTTCTCTTCTACTGTCAAGTCATATGTACATGCATGTTTCTATACATCCACATGAAATGTAGGAACTATAAGTGAGTGAACACATTTGAAATTTGTCTTTCTGGGACTCGCTTAATTCACTTAATGTGCTTATCTCCAGCTGCATCCTGAGACAGAAACAATCATTTTATAAAACATTACTTACCTTTACCATGTCCAATCCATCGTGGTATTTTCGATGTTCAGCCCTTTATTTTCTTTTCCCTTTCTCAAATTCTCTCTCTCTCTCTTTCTCTCCCTCCCTCCCTCCCTTCCCTTGATAATGGTCATGACCCTATAAGTGGTTTTGTCTTGCTGCTTGAGAAGGCTGAAGTAGGTATGCTTACAATTCCAACAATTGCGGGTTTTGAGGGAAAGGAGGTTGGAAGGACAACAGAAGTTTGTTGCCTGATGTTTCTCTCTTTCTTCCCTTAACTTAACCATTGTCTGTCTTAGCTCTTATAGTACCTGCATCTTATTGAGAAGCTTCTATTGTCTTAGAGGTTGGCAATTCAGAAAAGCAGTTACAAGCTTGATCCCTTCTGTGGTCTTGCATGTGACTGGTTCAGGCCTGTATATCTCTTAACCTGGAATTCTAGCTGCCTATCAGATCTTCTCTTCTCCTACTCCTCTAACTTACAGTGCTGCCAACAGAGGTCTGTGCTTATTTTCTAAGTCTTGGTGGTTACTAAAAGCACATGGGGGAAAAAACCAACAACATACAGTTCCCTTGCCCTGTCAGGCAGGTGTAATTCACGTTAAAGGAAAGATAAAGACTGCTATTTTCAATAAGATATTATTTTTAGTACTTCTAAATGAGCTAAGAGACTCAAATATTCAAAGTTTCTCACAGTCAACTTTCTTTATCCAGCTACTGTATGCAGTAAAAAGTAATCACAATTTCCTTTGCTGTTCTTGAACATTTGGTCTTGAAAAGTATCAATGAAAGAAATTAGCTTTGTGAGCCACTTTTCACCACAAAGAGGAAAATTCACCTAATCCTTAGCATTGACGTCTTTAAATCTCCATAAAGAAAAACAAGAGGGCTTGGGGCATAAATCAGTGGAAAAGCACTTGCCTAGCATGTGCAAGGCCCAAGGTTCAATCCCTAACACCACAAAAACCACACTTCAACCCAGATTACATGTGCTACCCAGCATCTTTCCCACATATCTTATTAAAAATACCTTCCCTGGCTTTTTAAAAAAACTATTAAGCACTTGAAAAATTAACTCTCTTCTAAGACATTTTCATTATGAATATTAGTTTAATGGTAAAATTATGAACCTCTAGGTTTTTATGAAGCTTCAAGCCAGTGAATTGGTTTTTATCTTAATTCTCTCAAGAATATTATCATCCACTGAACTTCTGGCATAAGGAATCTATCAAAAACAACTGGTATCAAGTCCAAAGGAAATAGCACTAATTTGAAGACAGACTCTCACTGACTGAAAATGGGGCGATTTGAGCATTGAAAGAATAAAAATAGTGAGATCAGTGATAGCAACACACGGAAGCACACCAAACAATGACAGCAAAAACAGAAATACACCACCAGTTCCTGAAGAGGTGCCAAAAAAGGAACTCATCGATGACCTCTAGAGTTTGCAAGGAGACCAACTCATTTATTCTGAAATTGCCTGATGAGTTTGTTTAATAGGTATGTGCAGTAAATTTGGTCCTGCGTCTGAGGACCATCATTTTCAATACTAGTTCCTATATGACTTTTGCCTTTGAAATGATTCTGAAACTCACCTTGCCTAATATGCCTCTCCTGTAATTTCATATAAATGAAATCATTCAGTACAATCTTTTGCATTTGACTTTCACTTAGCAGTTTGCTTTTGTTACTTATCCATGCAGAAATAATTTATTTCTTTTATTCCAGAGTAGTATTCCATTGTAGGTATTTATCACAATTTGCTTACCCCTCACTAGCAGTTCCCTTGCATCTGTTGGAATGACCACATTCTTTGTGATATGGTGGTTACATTAATTGATTTTCAGATGCTAGATTTTGTGTTCTCGGGGTCAACGTCATTGGTCATGTACTGTTCTTTTAAATGTTGAGTGCTAAAACCTTGTTCTCTACCTGTGTCTATGTATGTGAAGAGTGTTGGCCTGAAACTCTCTTTTATTTGAGATCTTTCATTAAGATAAAATTGGTCTTATAAAATAAATTCCTAAGTATATTTTTTTAAGTTTCAAAATATGTATTTTAAAACAATTTACCATGACCTCACTATACCACAAACATACTGTTGGGCGCTAAATAGCCAATAAAAGTATACAAAGCATATTCTGAAAATATCTTTGGCGGTATTAAATATATAGGCCCATGAGAATCGAGCTGAGTAACTAAAAACTGCTACTCTTGGTCACAACTACTTGGTAACAAAGGGTGCCTCTTGACACAGACTGCAATTGACTGGGAGGGGCACCAGATGCATAAATTGCAAGTGTGAAATTCAGAAATATTTTTGCAATGTTTAATTCTTTGCAGAACTTTGAGAAACATTAAACTATATATAAAATGTGGCATGGCAGGTGTCATTTAAATGTACGTATTTCAAAAGAAAACAATCTGTTCCCGCCTTGCGCATTTTCTCTTTAATTTCCATGACAAACATTATATCCATTTTCACACATGGCTTGTAGTTGGCTGAATTCGTGAGTGACTTGTAATCAGAGATCTAATAAAATAGAGCGAGGCGATTTTGGATTTGCTGGAGGGGTAAGCTAAGAGATTGCTAGACCTTTCTAGAACACATCTCCCTACTCTTTACTAATCACCATGAACACCCAGTATAAGCTTTTATGAGTAACAAATGCATACTGTAAGTCCTGCATCGAGCCTTGCCCTTCTTTTCTGTGACGGTGCATACCATTCTAATTGATGGGATCCAAAGAAGGTGCATGGAACAATGAAACTCCAGGATCGTGTGGCCTGAAGGCTAATAGTGGAACTGGGCATGCTCAGTCGCCAGGCAGATTTTTCAGAGAAGTGGAAACTACAACTGCGCGTACCCGGCGAGCGAAGGTGGGCGTGCCCTCGTGGAATTTAGAACGTTCCCTCAGCCAATGGGGCCTCGCGGCCGGCTGGCGGGGCTCGCCATTGGGGGAACGGGATGCGAGCAAGCGGAGCCCTGGGGGAGGAAGCAGAGGTGCGGGTCCGGGAGGCCGGGCTAGCCCAGCCCATCGCGTGAGCAGCTGCAGCGGCCAGGCAGCATCCAGCGGCGCGCCAGCCGGCCCAGCCCGTCGCTTTACTTTCTGCTGCACTAACCCGTCTTCATTATGCCGAAGAGAAAGGTGAGTCTTACCTACAAGGCTCCTCGCAGGCCTTCGAGTGTGCTCGGAGCTAGCCCCGTGGCTGCGACGGACGCACGGATGCGCGGAGTGACCCGGGCTCGGGGACCTCCCGGGCTCGTTTGCACCGCCTGTTGCGGACCCTCTGCCCCTCGCTCCCCGCGCCGACCTCCGAGCGCTACTTTCTCTCCGGTGACCCTCTTCATCAACTCCTCGCTGGAATGGTTTCTGCCTCCTGCAGGCTGAACGGGCTTCCATCCCCCTCGCAGGAGTTTCCTCTTTGCAAACTCCAGGCTGTGACGGGGTGGAGGGAAAGAAACCTGAGGAGAGAAACTCCCAGCCGAGGGACATCGAAATCCAGCGAAACGATCGGAGGGGGCCGGGCGAGGTCACGAGGTTCCCCGGGGCCATGCCCAGGGCGGGTGCGCCGCGAGGGAGCGAGGGAAAGCCATGATTCCCTGCGCCAGCCCTTGCTCGCCGCCGCGGACCCGTATGTACCCACTCCGGTGTCAATCACCCGGCCGCGGGGCGGTGCGCAGCGCAGGGCTGGCAGCAAGGAGGGGGCCGGCGTCCGACCGTGGCCCAAGGTCAAGGGCCACTAGGCCCTCCGCCGCCGTCCATCCCACCAACCCAGGCTTGGCCAAGCAGGGAACTGCGGTCATTTTACTCTTGTGGGTCGTGTCCCCTTCTGCGCTGGCTGGGGACACCAGGAGTCACGCGTGGGGCTGCATAGCATACATAGCCCCAGGGTGGGGCTTCGATTGAGTTTTGGACCAGTAAAGGAAGGAGGTTTTTCACCCATCCCTGAAAGAGGAGGCTGCTTCCTCAAAATGTTCTTACACAAGACCACCTGCCCCAGTGCCCCAAGTCAGCAGCCAACGTGAACATTAAAGTTGAAGTGTGGTTACAACGCCCAGCTGTATGCAAGACTGTTGGACTGATTAGTGTGTGTGATTGCTCTGGAACTACTGAAGCTTTAAAAAATTGGAAGCTTTTACCTTCTCATATATCACCACCAAAAATTCGATTGTAGCCATCTCTGCCCCTTTTTAATTATTTACTTATTTAGTGTATGTGTATGGGAGCTCACATGCACGTGGTGCTGTGGAGGTCAGAGGACAACTTTTGGAAGTCTGTTCTCGCCTTCCATCATGTGGGTAGTGGAATTCAACTCAGGTAACAGGTGACACCAGATGTCTTTACTAGTTGAGCCATCACACTGACCCAAGCATGTCCGTGCTTTTAAAAATCAGATTAATTAAAAGGTTGTTTTTTTTTTTTTAAGTTTAATATGGACGTACTCTGTGCCTCATGTTGGATGGAACCTGATTTGCATTATCATTTAATCCCCAGAATCACTAAGAAGTTTCTGGACACACTGAACAAAGTTGCCCAATATCTCACCAACCATTGGCACAGGGTGTGTCTGATGCTCTAAATCCTGAAATCCTTATTGGCTGCCATTATTAGTTGGTTGTCTTAATTTGGAAATGGTGGGACAAGAGGAATCTAGGAAATCCAAAGTCTTCTTGGTTAAGAAACTAGATGTCTGTATCAAACTTCTGCCTCTCAAGGCTCAGGAACCATAACAGAAGAGGGGGCTGAAAGATTGTAAGAGCCGGAAGTGGTGGCTGACCACAGGGAAACAGAGTTTTCCAGACAGCCTAGGCAGTTGCTCAGATAAACTCAGCAGTGGTAACAGTATGCACAAGTCCCACACAAGCCCAAACCAGACAAAATTCCAGTATAGAGGTGGGGAAGTGGTTAAGAAACCCCAACCCCACCTGAAGAACTGTTGGCAACTGATGGCTGCTGGAAGGGGGAGTCAGTCTCGGTTAAGGGTGAGACGCTTTGGTAGGTTGACCAGGCTCCACTAGATTGTCTCACACTGACAGGCATTTGAGGACACAAGTTTGACTCTCTATGCCTTTATACATACATACGTGTAATAGAGTACATGAAATTGGGCAGGGGGTAGTAGAGGGGTAGTAGAGGGGAAGGTAATTAAATTCTATCAAAGTATATTTTATGAAATTCACAAAAATTCAATGAAGAGATTAGGTGGCATGTTAAGGATACTAATACTTGAGACTCGTCTAAAATTAATTTGATGGCAGTATTGTTTTTCTAGTGCCATTCTAGAATGATGTCACTGTTTTCCCCATTTTATCTGAGGTTAGTGATGGGTTGGGAATTCTAGCAGAGTCAAAGGAACTAATTATTGAGAAATGAGTTACCAAGGGAGTTGAGACTACCCCTTTTCCTGGGAATTATTACCATGTTTAGATAAGCAGCAGGCTGCACACACCCTTTATGTATACTGAACCCTGGCTTAGCAGAACATTTCCTTTTTCAAGGACCATCACTCCAACTTTGTGTCACTGTCCATCTGAAGGGGAAGAAGAGAGGAAAAGAGTGGAGTAGTAACTGGCTTTTGATTTTGGTGTTTTTTCCCTGGAAGGCAGGGACTCCCTTGAAGAAGTTAGCCCAGTGATTCATTTGACTAGTGGCAAACCTGTGCATATGCACCTGTGTGCTTGTACCTGTGTGCAGTCCTTCAGAACATTTGAGATCCTTTAGAAATAGAAAGCTTCCTTGATTAATAGGAAGCCTTTTCATTTAGGCCTGGAGCCCAAACACCTATTCGGATACCTGGCCAGGGGCAGCCACAGATCACAAGGCTCTGATGAAAATCCCTCCTAGCAGTCAAGCCTTAGTGTTGCCTTTTGGAATCGTGTAGTTCAATGCAACTGACACCAGAAACCACTGTTACCAGGTGAACCTGCCTAGCTGTGTAAGAAAAGAACGGGAGACAGCCCCTGTGTAGTCCTTGGAGGCCTGCAAACTGGGTAACTGCCACAGCATTTACATACTATGCCGCTGTATTTTCTTGACCAAAGAACTGCCTGTTCTACATTATAAATTTTAAGTTGTTTGTGTGCATGCCCAAGCTTGCTAGAGTGTGTACCACACAAGTGCAAGTATACATATGTGTGGAAGCCAGAGGTCAGAGTTGGCTGTCTTCCTCTATTGCCTTTCACCTTATTTTTTGAGACAGGGCCTCTTGCTGAACCTGGAGCTCACTGATTTGGCTAGATGGGCTATCTCCACCTCCCCAGTACTAGGATTGCAGATACAGGCACCTGGCTTGTACATGGGGCCTAAGGATCAAAACTAGGTCCCCATGCTTACACAAGCAAGCACTTTACCCACTGAGACACCGCTCCAACACCCATGATCGGCTTTAAAAGTGGCCATGTCATGTTTTCTTTGCCATCGTTGCTCCTGTTTCACCTTTTCCTAGAAATGTTTATTTAGTGGGCTCCTTAGTTTTGTAGAGCAAGAAATGGTACAGATGAAGCCCATGAAAACCTCTGGAGTTCTAGCCCTGTTTAAATGTTATAGGCACTGTTTATTCTTCAGGAGTTATATTCAACAAAGTGATAAGATTGGCAGACAAAAATGTTGCATAGCATTTGGGTTCGAGATAAGTTACAGAATGTACTATTACAGATTCCAAAGACTACGGGATAGATAAGAATACAAGCTTCAGTTCAGGCTGGCTGCCTTGAAAGTACGGGTAGGACTTGAAGAAAAATGTTTTCTATTCCCAGGCATTTGAATGCCTCCTCTGATTACATCTTAGCCTCAGTTACACATCAAGGTCACAGTATCATCCATATGAATAGAAACTGTTCTAATGACACGTCTTTGTAAGTTTTATGTATATGTTTGTGTAATACTGACATTAAGCCAGCTCTTTAATGACTGCTGTATTATTTTTAAAAGTGGTGCAGCACTTAACATTGTAATTTCTTGCTGATATTTGAATAAAGTTGGGTTTCCTATATTATATAATGGGTGGTAAGTGAACTAAATCTCAGGGGAAAAGGTAATGCTCATGGACTTGGGTGGTGGTGGGACACGAGGACTGAGTTCTAGGCTGTTCTGGTCAAACATCCACAGGCGCCAGCAATGGTCATGTTGTAATGTGATGACCTGATGTTCTACAAAGAAGCTTTGGCCAGCAGGGCCTGAAACCACAGTCAAACACCCAGGATCAGCAAACACACTTTGCACACCCTTTTTTACTTTTCTGGTTCCTTATCCCTAGAACTAATGTGTCTGGCACATCACATCAGAAATTCTCCAGTGAGGCAATGCCAGTGAAATGGGCATGTACACGGCAGGCTCTTTCCGTTAGAGGCTCAAGAAATAAAAGTCTGCCACTCCTCATCTGGAAATTTTTAATTGGGTTTTTATATGGTCTCCTTAAATGGAGGGACGCAGTGGCACTGGCTTGGCCTTGCAAGTGCTTAATTAGCAAGGCTCAAGGTTTCTCCTAGATTTTATTTCAAAAGACTATCACTGTTATTCCACCAAAGATGGAAAGTAAAAATGAAAGTGTAGATAAATTTAACCACATAAAGATAAATATGTCAATGAAGCAAAAAACAACTATTAAAAATTAAAATTTTTTTTGAAGAACCAGAAAAAATATTTGTACCAGGTATCACTGAAAAAGGTTTGCCCTCTTAAAAAGAAAGTGTCTCGTGTCTTTACAGAGAAAATAGATATTATTATAGGAAAAAAATCAAGATACTGCTACTAGAAATCAGAAAGATACAGTTTAAAGTTTTTTATTAAAGTTTTTAAAAAAATATTTTATTTTATGTGTATGAGTGTATTGCCTGCATGTATGTGAGTGCACCTCTGTCGTGCAGTGCCGCGGAGGTCAGAAGAGGGCTTTGGATTCCCCTGGAACTGGAGTTAAAGATGGTTCATAGCCACCATATGGGTGCTGGAAATTGAACCTGGGTCCTCTGCAAGGGCAACCAGTGCTCTTAACCACTGAGCCATCGCTCCAGCTCCTACAGTTTAAGATATTTTTAAGAATAATGAGCTGGGTGTGGTGGCACATGCCTTTAATCCCAGACTCAGGAAGCAAAGGCAGGCTGATGTCAGTGACATCAAGGCCAAACTGGTCTACATAGAGAGTTCCA